AGTTTCATTAATGTTAGAGAAATACATGAAACAGTTTCATTAAGTATTATATGAAACAATTTCACAACCATATATGAAACAACTTCATCAAAAAAAATATTATATGAAACAATTTCACAAGATTAAACAATTTCATGAAAAAATTTCATAAGATTAAACAATGAAATCGATAGATGAATGTGGTTTGCACGGTTTGCACAAATGAGGGCGGTTTTCATATGATCACTCATATATATATATATATATATATATATATATATATATATAATTGAGGACTTATTTGTTAAGACTTTAATGAGCTTTATGGGATTCAGAAACTTTTGTTATATCATGATTAAGGGGTTCTTATGATATAGTATAAAATGAAATATGGTTGTTTGGTAATTGTTCAGAATGAAATTAGAGCTTTGAATAATTCAGAAAGGCCCAAGATACAAAATCATTCAAAGGGTTTTAGAATAATTAAAAGGCTGCCTTTTTTTGCCAAACAAGGTTTATCTTTTAAAGATTCAGATGCGGCCTCTTAATGTAACTTTTAAGAGGTAAACAAATTGTCTCTTAGAGTTTATTCGGGCATCTATAATGATTGTTTGGTAGTTGCTTAATTATATAGAAAACGATTTATTCAGTAAGTTTTTAGGACTTTATGCAGAAAGTGATTTTTTTTTTCCAAACGTGCCCCTCCCAATTAAAAGATAAGCTTCTTCTATCTATGAAAAACCCCTCAAAACAAAAGCTTTTTCAGTCTGTACAAATAGATTAATCTACACAGACAACTTTATCCATACAAGACTTGATCGAAAATCAAGCAAACAACCTATAAATCAAATTCAAAGAAGATTCAAAAACAAAAAATTTAATGAAGATATATATGTAATTATTGGAAAATTCATATGAAGATGTATATGTAAACTCATATGAATAATCTGTAACGTCGATTCATAAATGCATTTTTAAACGGTTCTTTTTCCAAAAAAAATTCAATAATTCACATATGAATTTCCTCACAATATTTAGTCTTTTTATATGAACCGCTCCTACAGCTTCAATATCAAAATTTATTGGCCGTTAACACTAAAACGATGGACTCGAATACCATAAACTAAAAAGCGTAAAAGGTCGACCATATGGTGGTATACCCTTTAGCGGTTGCATCCGTTGGCCGAAAAACCTTAGAAAAAATTGACACATGAAAAGATCGGTTTTCATGAATTCTATTGATTGATTAGGGTGAAAACGTCAAATACCATAAATAAAAGTTATTAATTTTATTTGCATACTGGTTTTATAATAAATAATCATATCGTGTAAAAACAATTCATTTTAAAGCATTTGTCTTTATTATCGTTTTCTTTTCTTGTCTTCTTCTACTGATCAAATCAATCGCAGTCTTCAAAAAGCAGTATAGATTTCCGTTCTTATCTTCCCATCTTTCGTCATCGGAAGGTTTACATCGTTATTTTTGTTTTTTTTCATTTCTAATGGTTCAAGATAAAAAGATGAACGATCGTTCTTGTGAAACATGGGTTGTATCAGTATAACATACGCGTGTTGTGTGCCAAAAATTGGTCAGTGTATTTTGCTTACGATTAAACTAAAAGGTCGTACTCAGAGACGAGTTCCGTGTGAGACCGATTGAGATTTAGGCAAAAATATATGATGACTGATATTCTTATAGCGATCATGTGAACTTCCGTAGACCCGAGTTAGATTTTCAATAATTAGAATGATTACGGAAAATTTCTCCTAAAATAGAAACAATTCAGTTTCTTTTCCCATAACGGACGTATGATTTGGTCATGTGAACCTACGTGACCAAAATCAAACCATTTCTATTTTTAGTAATTCTAAAAAATGGACGAATAATACTTATCGATGTATATTGAAATTGAACAGATATTACGTGTATTCATATGATGCATGTCGATATTGAAACTAATCAACTACTAACTCGAACTCTCAATTTTGCATTCTGTTTCGTTTTATTCTTTGTCTCTCTCTTTATTATTTTTATGATTTTATCTGGTTATCAGATTTAAGAAATATTTTATCTGGTTATCAGATTTAAGAAATATTTTATCGTATCAGTAGGACTCAACAGTTATTGTGTATATGAACTTTTTTATTAGTTTATTCTATAAAATTAAAAAATAAAGTTTTAAAAAATTAAATTCATCCCATGACAATTTATAAACTTAATTTTTTTTTTAATTTTTAAATAAATAAATTACAAATATTTTATTATTATAATAAATATGTGAAAATGACCTTTTAATTTGTCTTTATTCCCTATTTTAATTAATTTAATTTCATATAAAATGTCTTGTATATTATCCATAATTGTATGAAAATCACAAATTAAAATTAAATGGTCGTTACTAAACACTTACTTGGTAAGTACTTACCGGATAAATTTCCTCATCGGATGATCATGAAAATGGTCAAAAATCTTACCAGGTAAGAACGATGAGAATGATGGAGAGTTTTACCCGGTAAGTGATGATGATGACTCTTACCCAGGTAAGCACTTACCCACTAAATTGTTGCATTCGATATGTTTTGATATACTAAAATCTTACGCATCAAAATAAATCATAGTATTGGCTTCTATCGGTTGACGCTTACCGGGTAAGCAGTTGGATAAACAACCCCTAAATCACAAAATATCAACACTCATGGTTTTTTAAGTTTTTAATTAATAGTTTATTATAAAAATACATTGTTGTAATAAAAAAAACTGAAAGTAAAATGCTATAATAAATTTTTTGTAAAAGTAGGTTTGTTATTTCGTGCATTTTACCTTATTTTTAATTCAATTAATATTATATAATTATAAATATAACAGTAAAAAAAATCTGTAATTTTCATAAAAGGACTCGAACAGATGACCTATGGGGTCAAACCCCAGTATCTGATGTTTATTTACCGGTTGAGTTAGCTTTTTCAAGGTCGATTAATAGCTTTACGTCTGTATTAGAGTATTGAGATTAAATTTCGGGGTCGATCGTTTTGCAAGTTTTGAATTTAACCCGAAGAAGCAAATTCTTTACCGTCAAATGGTACATGTGTGACGGGATTGGTGGTCGATAAGTTCGGGTTATATTGCTCGATTTAAAACTCAAAATTATATTTGCTTTTTTTGGGGTCTAAATAATGACAAATAATTAAGGAAAAATTCTTTTTTTTTTATAGATTCGGGCTAACCGTCGAATCCGGTTTGGCTCCAAACTGCATCCCGAACTCGGCTCATGTCTCGACCCTTAAGGGTCCGACCGACGCCTTCAAAGACGGATTTCGCAGCCGATCTATGGCTCCGTGCTAAATACTCGTGGGGCGGGACCATATCCGAGTCTTGATCGTCGGTCCCATCATCCGAGTCGTGCATCGACTCAACCGAGTTGACTCGGTAAATCTTTGACCAGTCTGGCACGTTCACTGGTGCTGAGGTGGCAACATGACGTCCACGTGGAGATGCCAACCCATCTCCGCCACCGGTGCGGAACTGGTGGATGATTCGCGGCGTCGCCACCATCTTCCCTGGCTGATGATCATCAAACGCCACCGACAATCCACCGGCGGAGCCTGGCGCCGGAAGTAGGCTACCACGGCGACCCTTGACGGAACGATGATCATCTACGGCGGCGCGTGGGTTCCAGTCGCTATTGATGGAACAATGATCACCGTCGTTGACGATCTCATCAACCATGGACCAAACGTCATCTTCCCGGAGCTCTACACCGTCGTCCTTCGTGGGATGGTTTCCGGCGAATCCATAGCTTCCCAAGAACCGTTCGCTCCGGCTGATTGTAAATTTCCGACTTTTCGCCATGGATCATAACAAAGAAAACAGGAGGTCAAGCGATCGGAGTCTTGATTTTCCGGCGACCCAAGTGTAATCGAAGGTATGTGATGATCTTATAGAGTCGGCCATTGATGGGTGGAGGTGTATATATAATGATTGAATGCAGAAAACAAAACCCACATAAATTTGAAGTGAATTTGGGGTGAATTTGATGTGAATTTGTGGATTAAATAATGTTGAATTGGGACCGTCTTTAGAACAAGTACATTATGGCGAAACTAGAAGACGAAGGTTGTGAAAGTGTCAGACAGGGACAGATCGGTAATTTCAACACTCCCACGCTCACTTTGGACGCGAACAGAATCCACGTACGAGTCATCAGAAAGATCACACAATTTAGGGATGTGGATCGGGTCGGATCCGGGTATAGATAGTGTAGAAAAGTCAAAAGTAATGTAACAAATTATAAGGAAAATTTTGTATTCTTATTATAGTTTTAAAATATATATGATGACAAACAACGAAATGGTATAATGACACTTTTTACGACCTTGTAATTTTTTACATTACGACGGAGGAATGAAAACAGTAACACAGGCCATCGTGTGCTCTACCCTGGGTCCGTCCATACGTACAATATGACTTGTTAGAAACAGTCTGTACTGCTTGTTTAAAAAACTAGTTTGGACAACCACTTTAAAAACGTGAGCAAGTACGGGTTGGATCGTTAAAGTTAATGGTTCACCCAGACGATAAAAATATCTAAACAAAACCAGACTGATTTATTATGAGTTATGTTTTATTTAAATGTTAAAATGTTTTAGGTCAGTCAACTTGTGGGCAAACACTGCTTGTTTATTTGACAAATACAGGAAAATTACGAAACTCATAAAAGGGAAATTGACCCAAATAATCATTTCTCTCTCCTAAATTCGTCTCCAAGTCATTTCTCTCCCTTTTTTTAAACCAAAATGTCACTGCATCCATAAGTGATAGCTCCTCAATTTGCGGAGGGGTCACAAATAAAAAAATAAAGAAGTTTCTGAACATGATCCGCAAGTACCAGGATCAGATCCACAATATTTTACTTTTTGACCCCTCTACAAATTGAGAAGCTGCCACTTGTGGAGATAGTGACATTTTGGTAAAGTTTCGAGAGGATTGGCTCGGAGACCGATTTTGGAGAAAGAAATGAATATTTGGGTCAAGTTCCCCCCATAAAACGAGTTGAAACTGCTACATTAGGTCTATTGGACATAAAATAAATAAGGTATATCCGATTTAGACCCAGTCAAAACCCGTATATGATCATCTCTACCAAAAATTCATACCACTTTGAGTTTGGTATAGAGCTAAGGGGGTGCTCATGGGCTGGGTTGATGGAGTTAAAGACATTTGAACAACCTAACTCAATGCTTGCAGTTTAAAAAATCTCAACCCAAGCTAAACAGTATGGGTTGGTCGGGTTGGGACTTTGATAAATCAAAATATTTTCCTAACCTTGAATTTGGTATTTTCTCTATTCTACTCATGATTTCTTTTTTATCATCAACCATTTGGTATTACTTATCAATAATTCTTGAATCTTAAGTATATCGCATTTAATTAACTTTCTCAATAGTTATATATATGTTCATGATTACTGAACATATATATAAATGAGTTATATAGATATTGAGAATAGATTCAATATATATATATATATATGTATATATATATATGTGTGTGTGTGTGTGTGAGTTATTATACAACCATTTACATTTGTACAACCAATACAACTCAATCTCAACCGTCCATTTAATTTGATGAATATGTGATTTCATAAAAAATTTGATTATTTCTTAATATAAAGTATTGATCATAATTAATGAACTATAGTCATCTTCCATAAATATTTAAATCATAATAAATGAACTCTCATCATTTCCATAAATATCTCAATTGACTGAGTTGCATTGGTTGTACAAATGGACATGGTTGCATTTGAAATATACCTTATATATATATATATATATATATATATATATATATAAGACTCAACAATTGCATTAAAGACATGGGGTTCATCGGGTTGAAGATTTTGAAGATTGATTAGATGTCGGGTTGCTTCGAGTTGAATTATTTCGTGTTGGATTGATCTGTTGGTCGGGTTCTTGAGCACCCTGTATAGAATTAGTTCGGTTCCAAACTAGATAATGAACTTATATTTGTTTTAATTTTAAAAAAATGTAAACGTAAAAAAATGTTGCTTTAAGTTTTTAAAAATGAAAAAGAAAGTTTGATTCTAATATTGAACTCGATCAAATAGAGTGTAGGTTTTGAAAAACTGTGAATTGAAAACGGACCTTAATTTTCAGTTTCGTCAATTTGAACCTGTTTTGCCCCTCCCTCGGGAGGGACGAAGTGACTCCTCGTATTATTGCTAACAGTTAAAAAGAAGCATGGTTCTGTTTGACTAGTTTCAGAAATATCACATAAACGTGGTTTGACGAAGTTATTAGGTTATATTGAACTTATCAGACTGTTTTAACAACGTTTTGGTTTGGCTGTTTTGATATTCTTTGTAACCAAAACTATAATTTTCTTATTACATACAGAATACACAAATGAACTGTTTATTATCAACGTACGAGATATAACATGGATCTTAGTGAAACATATAACATCTTGAAAATATAGATGAATTGGATGTCATCGTTAAGCCGTGAATTGGATTCAAGCATTTTTTTTCCTCCTTTCATCTTCTTCTATTCGTAACACCCTTCTTCCCTAAATGGGACGTAAAATGATTCTTATTCCATATGAGACAAAGACATAAAGTCACTCATGTGGAAAGAGGTTTTGTATGAACCATGTATACTAATAAAACTGTTGGGTCATTGACTAACATCTTCCTAAATTGAAATGTGGCGTTGACTGTTACGTTATAAGAAAATAAGTTGCACCTTCTCCATCAGCAATTGCTTTTGCGGTAGTGGTAAGCGCTTGGGTCCTAATATGTGGTATCAGAGCAGGTCACGGGTTTGAATCCCTTGAAGTGCATAATAATGCCAAAGGCATGCTGGGCAACCATTGTCTTCTAGCGAAGATCTTGTTAGTGCTGGCAGATGCTGGGGGGGGGATTGTTGGGTCATTGACCAACATCTTTCTAAATCGAAACGTGGCGTTGACTGCTACACTATAAGAAACTAAGTTGCGTCTTCTCCATCAGAATTGCTTTTGGCGTAGTGGTAAGCGCTTGTATCCTAACAAAAAACGTAAAATGTGTTGATACCATGAGAGCCTGAACGAGAAGATTTCTATGAAGCAAAAAGCCGATGTCAAGAATCCACAGAGAAGTCTAAGTCAACCAAGTCACGAATCTAGAAACTTGAGCTGAAAACAGAAATTGGATAACCTAAAACCTGGTCACGGAAGAACTATCTAGCCAAACCTATAAACACTAACTAGAAGATAATACACAGACGAAAAGAAAAGAGAGAACAAGCTTCAAATTGTTGGTAGAAACTTACAACCGAGTACGCAAACGACAAAATAAGGTTTCACATTTTTTATGGGTTGTTGTCCAACGTCTTTAGAAAAATGGACCAATGGTCCATGTGGGTAGAAACTCAAAGAAGTGGTGTCTACTGCCCTTTCCTCCTCAAACGGGTGGCTCCGCCAGTGGCCTGGGACCAACTGCTAGCAGTCACCATCCACCTACGTAAGCAAGACATTGATTGATTTAAGAAAAAAAAGGTTCGAATGTTGATTTTTTTTTTTTTTGTAATTGTTAATTTCTAATAATATAAATAATCTATTACTAATATTATTTTTAGAATATTTCCAATATATTATTCAAATTTTCTTTAAAATGGGAAATTAAAATTCAAAATCTGAAACAATTACATCCGCTTTCTATAACTTCCCAAGATAGATATTGGTTATTACACATAGAAATACGTATATCTAACTATTTGTTATCAGCATGCAAAATATATATACCATGTATACTGATAACACTCAAAATGATACAGTGAGAGCTTGAATGAGGAGAGTCCTATGAAGCAGAACAACCATCTAAAGAACCCATAAAGAAGTCTCAATCAACCAAATCATAAACCGAGAAACTTGAACAGAAAAAAGAATCTGAATAACCTAAAAACTGGTCACAAGATAACAGTTTAGCCAAATGTATAAGGACTGGATAGAACATAATATACTGACGAAAAGAAAAAAGAGAACGAGCTTCTAAACCATTGGCGAAAACCGACAATCGAGTAAAAGAAGTCAAAAATGAGTTTCGGATTTTTTTTTATAGGGTGTTGTCCGGTGCCTTTAGAAAAATGGACTGATGGTCCATGTGGATATGAACTCAGAAGAAGTGGTGGCTACTGTTCTCCCCCCTTCAACCCGGAGCAAGTCCATCAGTGGTCTTGGGAGAAACCGTCGATGGTCACCATCTATCATAGGTAAGCAAGACTATGATTGATTTAAGAAAAAAGCTTTAAATACTGATTTTTTATTATTAATAAACACTGATTTTTTATTATTAATAATTTCTAATAATATAATTAATCTATTATTAATATTTTAGAATTGAAATTAATGGAGGATTCAGAATTGAATTTTTTTGAAATCTTTGGTGTGTTTGGTTTGTATAATTTAAAATAAAATTGAATTTCATTTTTTATAAATAACTAAATTATTTTTTTATTAATTGATTTTTACAAAACAAATATTTTTAACATATTTTAAAACATTATTTTATATAAATCCTACAAAATTCTATGAAATACCAACCACCTTCATGGGATTTCAAATCCTACGTTTGTAGGATTTCAATACCATCCTGAGATTTCAATTTCAAGAAATCTTTAAACCAAACATTAAATTGGAATAAAAAAATAATTAAAATATTATACAAAAAATTAAAAGTGTGGGACCAAAAATTATGACAAATTTTCAAGATTCATAATTAATTTCATATATAAAAATCCCATTAATGACCCTTTTATATTTACCTTTTTTATAAATAATGTAAATCAGACAAAATAAACCCAATTTAAAA